ATCGCATGCTCACATCAAGGCCAGATCTTCACCAAAGCACACCGCGGGGTGCGACCTTTATCTTCGAGTAGTGTTTGACCTGGGTATCGGGAGATATCCCCTGCAATAAAATACACGACGGCTCGAAGCCCGGCGCTGACATCCGACATGGAAAGCCGTGAATCTATTTTGTAAACCCCGCCAAGCATCCCTTGGCATGGACAGTCAGACCCCCTCCTGCCTTTCATGATCCTTCCACTTCAGAGCAGCATAACACTGCCGGCAGCTTACATTGAGGAATTCTGGATGCAGACCTTACATAGATATACGGATAGTAACCACTACCGTTTAACAGCGACGTCGATGGATGCAGCGATTACGGACGGCCGCCAGGCGAAAGCCAGCTGCAGAGAGGAGCGGGCCGGTCTGCGAGGCGCGGCCGGGCCACCTCGAGCCGGCGCCGGTGGAGGCCGGGCTGGGCCGGCCCGGCGCGGCCGCCTCCGGACCGGACGGAGCGGCGATGGCGGCCGGTAACGGCCGGCTTATCGGCCGGGCCGGACCGCCCGCCGGTGTGACGCCGCCGCCACATCCCGGCCATAACTCGGCCGGCCGGCAATTAGCGGCACGCCGCGCCGCCGCCGGGGCGGGGCCTGCAGCCGTGCAACACGCCCCGGCCCCGGACCGGGGGCGGCCGCTGCCAGGGGGCGGCGCACGCCACCGGCTCGTTAGCCGCCCGGCGATGGCTGCCCGGCGCCCCCGGCCGCCCTGGGCTGGCGGCCCGCGACCCGACGGCCGTCCTGCCCAGTCGGGGACTCCGCGGCACCTCAGCTACAGCTTGGCTCCATCGGCTACCCGACCCGGGACGGCCCTCGATGGCACACGGAGCCCAGACCCAACTTCACCGACCAGCGGACCCAGTGTCCTGCGACACCAGTAGCTCAATCAAGCCCGTGGCGTGTCCCGTCGCACCGGCGAGACCTCGCCGACACTCGCCCGGCCCCTCCTCTCTACGCTACCTCGCACTCTCTCGTCAGCACCTGAAGCAGCTTGCACGTATGTTCTCGGCGTTGGGCCGAAAGATAAGACCATCCGGACGATGTTTGGCTGCGGTTTTGTCGAAGACGTCGGGCGGCGCCTTCACAAGGGGCCTGTTTCGTGTCGTTGAAAAGGGGGGATGGGCAACGTGCCGCTGGGACATGTCTGGCGTATTCCGACCCGTTCCGCTGCAGATTAAGGACAGGCAGCGGCTGCTCGCATGTCACCCACGTGCTGAAGGTGCAAGCTGCGACAGCAACGGGCTCTACGGGACCACTTCGGCGAAAACGGTCTGCTTAAGATAGCGTACGTCGAACAGCCCAAAAAACAGAAAACCGTTAGAAGCGAGAAGGCTCGCCGGGCTGGTCTTCACGTCCGCTGGCCGGCAGCGGTGCGGCACGGCCCGGCACCGTCCGGTCCTGTCAGGCGCTATCTGAGGAGCTCATGTCTCTGCAACCACTGACCGTGCCGTCGTGCGTTCACGGCCACAAGGGGCACAACATTCCTTGGGAATCATGCCTTTCTGGCTTCGAGTGATTGTAAATTTATTTGTCATTGGGAGTGGTTTCCCTGCAACAGTAAAAAGCCGACCAAATCTAACCTCTTTATCAGATCAGCACGGGGACCGTACGATTTTCACCACGCGAAGAAGTGGCAGAGTGCGGGTGGAGGCCGGACCCGCATCCCCGTGACCCGATGTCACGGCGACACGTGACCGACGCCGCTTGACGGGAGATGGTGCCGGTAGCGGTGCTGACGGCAGTGGGGAAGAGATGGGCAGCCGAGCACGCGCACTGGGGCGCAAACAACGGATCCGCCGGTTCAGGTGCGCTTTAAGCATTGATGTCAGACATCGGCAAACAGAGCTGATGAGCGCGTGAAAAGAATGCAAGGTGTTTAAAAAAGCAGCATCTTCAGTAAAAAGCGGCGCTATCACTGGGCGCCGTCAACACCATCCGGTACATAGATGCGCCAGCAATGAACAAAGAGGCAGACAATGGCGCCTTCTTAGAGCAATGGCGCCTTTTTTAACACGCCATGTACTAAACTGGAAGATCAGGCATGCAAATTGTGTAGGCTCTAATCCCAATTCACTTTTACCAACACCAGCCCAAAAGTATTTTCGTGTTTCGCTGATACTTCGGTCGCAGTGGAAAAAACCGCAAGGCAATCCCAATCCTTTGATTTCGTCTGCCAAATTGGGAACACTCCGTCAAATCCAGCGACAGCCAGCTTTCCGGCCACGATAGCTGTGGCGCATTGGATGCATCTCCCTCGACACTCTTCGAAGCTTTCAAATATCGAGATCTTTGAATACTTTAACACATATTAAAGAGGGGCATTTTAACGCACTGATAAAATCCATTCGTACGGATTCCGAAAAGTGTTTAAGTCTGTCTGCTCATGTTTTGTGTCGGTAGATGACAGCACCTATGTCTGCTATCTCCTCAGTCGTCACGCGCTGTACAAGGTGTCTGGTTCTGGTATCAGCCATCAGATAGCGGCGTAAGTACAAACTCGTCGACGCTAAGTAAACATGACGCTACAAGTTATCACTAAAAAACTGACTTTTCAGCGACAAAAAGAGCAGAAGTTGGCATGACACACGCGTGGAGCGCCCCAACATGACAAAGCATCACAATACAACACGGCAAATTGGATATACGTCCGTGAGACGTTCTCATGTCATTTTTTGATGGACGTCAACGGACCGCTCGCATTTTTTCGCGACTGCTCCTGACCCAAATGGCAGGCACACGACTGCGAGCAGCTGGCGGGAAACCATTGTACAACACCGTAACGGCGTGGTTCGCAAGAGTTTTTTTTCAAGATAAGCTTATCGGATTAAGCTGGCCATTAACGTCCATATCAGTTGACGTCTCATAAGCTGCCGCCCCCGATGCTGTCGAAAAACAGCTGCAGAGATGGCGTTTTTTTCTGTGCAGCGCTACAGACGGGCCGCTTGATGCTTTTGCAAGTCGGGCTGTAGCATTCAGCAGCCAACATGGGCAGGCCTCGAGTGAAGACGCGATGGCTGCGTAGGCCGTGTGAACCGCGGAGGATTCAAACCCACTGGTCCGGGGATGGGCATTTGTTGGTTGTTAGGTTAAAGAACAGAATGAACCACTGCATGGCGCATGCCAAATACAGACATTAAACATTAACATTAAATGTTTGTAGCCGGGATTCCTGCGGGCCTCCGCCGGAGCTGCCAGCAAATTTTGCTGGCAGCTCCTGGCAGCCAGGACCCAAACTGGACGTCAACAAAAGCGGTAGGCTTGTGGCGTATGAAGACTGTTTTGGTGTAAATACTCTGGACAGGCTGCCGTGCTCTGATGAGGAGCCTGCCGCGAAGATGCGCATCAGAGCACGGTAAAAATGAGGATCCATCTGAGTGAACCAGTAATACGCCCAGTGCGGTGCAGGACGTGCGAGGTGATGAAGACTGGGTGTTATCAATTACCATCGTGTGGATGATACCGAACCCAAGCTAATGGAACGAGTCACACAAACAGGCTTCATCAACGCAGCAGGCGGTCTAAAAACTGTCCAGTTGTGGGTTCGGACAGTGCTGGCAATTTCGGTCCACAAAATCAACGAATCCATGATGTTCTCCGTAGATTCGACTGTAACCACAGTGCTGCAAATAACGATAAATACTGAGGGCGCATACCGCCCCCAGTAGCCGGAATCTTTTTCACTTCAGGAGACGGGTTCAGAAAAGGGTGATAACGACCGCTCTCCGGACACACAGTTCTGGACCTGGGCCGGATTGTGTTGCGATCGACCCCCGATCCACAGCAAGCGTATTCGTTCACAACGTATTCGTTCACAACGTATTCGTTCACAACGTATTCGTTCACAACGCACCCCGGGATTCACGTCACCGTTGTAGCTGTCGAGACCTGGGAGCGAGCCCCACGAGGGAGGAGGCAGAGCTCTGGCTGGCGCCTGAGCGCGCGTGATCGGGCGCACACGCCGTGCTCGGTAGCTGTCGAGATATGGGAGCGAGCCCCACGAGGGAGGAGGCAGAGCTCTGGCTGGCGCCTGAGCGCGCGTGATCGGGCGCACACGCCGTGCTCGGTAGCTGTCGAGATATGGGAGCGAGTCCCACGAGGGAGGAGGCAGAGCTCTGGCTGGCGCCTGAGCGCGCGTGATCGGGCGCACACGCCGTGCTCGGTAGCTGTCGAGACCTGGGAGCGAGCCCCACGAGGGAGGAGGCAGAGCTCTGGCCGGCGCCTGAGCGCGCGTGATCGGGCGTTCACGCCGTGTTCGGCGCGCCTGTCCGTTCTCTGCGCCGTCGGGCGGTGCTGGTTCCGTGCCTCTGCGACGGCGGGGCGTCACGACCTGAGCCTGGTTTCGCCCCATACTGGCCAGCTTCCAGCGACTGGTATAGAATCCCCTTCCCACGCTAACTCGAGTGAGGGCGGTGGTTTGCTCGCAATGCAAATGTGCAACTTAATCAAGCCTGGTCAGACAGGCTGCGTCCGAATGCCTTTAAAGGTATCGGGCACAATCTTTGGAGAGTTGCGCTTCATGTTGCTGACAACTGCACGAGCGGTGTGCAGTTGTCAATGCAGTGCGAAAGGCTCGAAAGTAGGCGGCCGTGCGAAAGCGAGCGACCGAGCTGCTGGGCTGGAAATGATGTTACTGCTCCTGTAAGTCCCGATCAGATCGTGGCCTCGCTCGTAAACATTGGCGACCAGTTAGCAGCATAGGTCGCAAGCCAAAAACCGAGTAGGAATTCCTTTTCAAAAGCCGGCTATCCAAAAAATTCTAGAAAAAAGATTGAGCGCCTGACCGTTGATGGGCTTTTTATCATGGATTGCAAAGATCCCCACGCAAAAATCAAACACCCTATGCCCTGACACAGTGCGTGTTTCTTCAAATCCTGGAATAAGCATACACTGCTTGAACCAGCTGGCTCTCACGCATGTGCGGTTATGACGAGGGTTGAGATGGCGCACATGAATAGTCTAACATACCTGCTGCCTTCTTGGCTGCGTAAAGGTTGGCCTCTTCTTGAGCTTTGCCGATGTTCTTCTTATATCTTATCCTCTTGTTGCCGAACCAATTCGATACCTGATGGCAAAGAACCAACCGCGTCATAGAACGCCGATGGTCGGCGCCAAGAGACGTTCGTCTTGAGAAAAGACCAATCAAAACAACGCTGCATCCATGTTACACATTAGAAAACAGCCGCGTCTCAACCGATGAAGCAATATAACCCGTCCGAAGCACATTTACCATGCACTTAACACACCGTTGGAGACATTTCTCGGGGAGCGCGACGCTCAGAGCTGACTCACATGACCCCGCATTGGCCAAATTGACTACGGCCTACCAGCTATACTGGCTGACAAACGCGCCACATTCTGAGCCATCCGACCCGATTGATACCATCTATAACTAACTGAGTCATTTAGTCTCCCGTTAAAACAGACTTCAGTACAAATATCTAACGTGATCCGAGCCTGGCCATGTTTCCAGTCACATCACGAGAGTCATTAGGCCGAGCGTTCTACGGATCGCCGTATCGACTCTTCTCTTATTAATCGCCCGTAGACTCGGCCCGGCGCACCGAACAGATCGACGAAATTATCCCAAAGTGGCCGTGGCATTTACCAATGTAATGGCGACGTCGCTCGTTAACCATACACAAATCGGAATTTCCCTCGGTCGCGTCTGACTAATTGCTCGATCCGCAAACGGCCGGCGACTGGCGCGACCGCCGCCCGCCACTTACAGGGTGACTGGGCACGACTGACGGTCACGGCGGCGGCGGCTCCGAGGCCTAGCGCCGACCACCGGCGGGCCGGGGAGGGGCGGGGACGCCGCACCCCACCGGCCCGGTCCGCGGCCGCCAATTACGCCCGCCTGACGCGTTCAGCGCCGGTGATGAGCGGCGCGCCCGACGTTTGTCAATCGCGTAACGAGCGGCCGGCCGTCCTGCCGGGTTTTTGCGACGCCCGGCTCCGTATCGAGCCGCCGCCGCCGCCGCCGCCGCCGCCGCCGCCGCCGGACCGGACCGGGCCGGACTGTTTTCAGCGCGCGCGCCGACGGCCGGGACATGGTTCGATAGAGTGGCCGGCCGAAAACAAACATCACCAGAGCCGATACAGAAAGACTGTTCGGCGCTGCACACGGGGCTCGCCCCCTTCCCGCGGCGATCTACGATAATATTCCGGGCACGCGGTCGTTATAAATTTAGTGGTATCTATGGTATCAAACGACATCGTGGCATACACATTACTTGAACTGTTATTTGATCTACGAGCTGCATGAAGCGATCACTGGTTATGTTGAAGCGACTTGTTCTTATAAGGGTTCGGGTGCACCTCGATCCAATTTCAGACACCAATTCATTCCGGCCATACACTGGCAATTTTGTTGTACATGTGCCCCCCCCCCCCCTCTGAACATCCTCCCTCCTCATCAACACAACCATCAACATCCACTCGCGCTCACCTGATTAGCAGCAAAACACAGATACACACGACGACACAAGCAAAGCGAATACTACATACAAAGCAAAGCGTTCCGCCAGCCAAAGCGCGGGGCCGACGCCGTCACCAGCCAAGCGGTGGACAAGGCGGCGCGGCGCCAGACGTCCACCCCGCACCCGCCGTCCCCGGCGCAGGGCGCGCACGGCCGGCCCCTTCCCCACAGCCAGTGGGCCTCCATGTTGCCGGCATACCTGAGACACCGTGATATTACACTTTCTGGCCAGCTCCTCTTTGACCTCCTCCGTGGGGTAGGGGTTGCTCAAGTTGGCGTAGAAATACTCATTTAGCACTTCAGTCGCAGTTTTGGTAAAGTTTCGCCTCTTTCGCCTGCAAACAAAGGGCAAACTTAGCGCTGAGCCCGGTCGCGAGCCGAAAGAGGACGGGCGGGCGGGCAGGCGGGCGAGGGCGGAGGCGGCGGGAGTGGCGGAGGAGCGGGCGGTGCGGGGGCGGGGCGGGAGCAGCGCGGACGGGCTGGACGGCGGCAGGCGAAACCCGGCCAAAAGTGCGCCCGAGCGGTGCCCCAGGGCAGCCGGCCGCGCCCCGCGCCCCGGGAAGGTCGGCGCGCCGGCCCGGGGGCCTACTACCTGGCCGACGGAAATGCCACAGGCGCGCGCCAGCCGCTCCTTGGCCTCCTCTGAGGGGTACGGATTGGCCAGGTGGCCGTAGAAGTACTCGCTGAGCACCTCGCTCGCTTGCTTGGTGAAGCTGCGCCGCCGCCGCCTGCAAGGAAAGAGACCGCGTGCCCCGCTCAGCGCCGCTCAGCCGCCTCGCGCCGCTCAGCGCCGCTCGGCCACACACCTGCGATACGGTTATGCTGCACTGCTTCGCCAGCTCCTCTTTGGCCTCCTCCGACGGGTACGGATTGCCCACATGCGAGTAGAAATACTCGTTGAGGATTTCGGCCGCCTGCTTACTAAAGTTCCGTCGCCTTCGTCTGAAGGCGGAGAACAACAGGGGCAGTGTGAGCACGCGGGCGGGCGGGCGAGCGGGCGGGGCGGGCCGGCCGCCCGACCCCGGCCGGTCCTGCCGTCCCCGGGGCGGCGCCGCCCGCCGCCAGTCGTGGCCGCATTCCAGGCGCGCTCGCAGCCGCGCTGGCCGAGCTGTCACACCGTGCTGGTGCCGGCCGAGGCCGCTGCGCTGCCAGCGAGTGCCGCGGACCAGGCCAGTAGCGGCCGCACACCGAGCCAGCAGCGGCCGTGGAGACCGGGCCAGCAGCGGCCGTGCGGACTAGGCCAGTAGCGGCCGCACACCGAGCCAGCAGCAGCCGTGGAGACCGGGCCAGCAGCGGCCATGAAGACTAGGCCAGCGAAGGCCATGAAGACTGGACCAGCGGAGGCCATGAAGACTGGGCCAGCAGCGGCCGTGGAGACCGTGCCAGCGGCGCAGAGATGGCCGAGCGTGATGACGCGCGGCAGATGCGGCTTCGACCACAGGCTGCGGAGACCGGGCTCGTCGCCGGTCGCTCCGACAGAGCAGACGGCTCAGAGGACAGGTGGCCAACAGAGTGGCTGCGGCGAGGGCTTGTGACGTCGCCGCGCGGACGGCGCAGCGTCCGTGTCACGTTTCCCGAGAGCTGCAGGCATGTCCGGCTGGGTGCGAATGAAACAAAGAATGAATAAGCTGGACTGAAAACCCACTACATATGATCATGCAATGCAGCCCGTCCGTGAAGTCGCACGCGACGTGACTTCTTAAATCACCATGCGCAATCGCACCCAGATTCAGGCGAAATGGAGAGCAGCCACACGCATGGAGCCGACAGAACGTGTCGCACGCGCTCTTCAAAACCGGGACCTCCAGGTCCATGAGTAGAGTCTTGCGAAGCATAACTGACGGACACATTTCCCCTTGATATCCTAGCTCTACAAAAACTATCAGGGTGAAACGCCTATTAACACCAGTAACCGACACGAGGTGGCACACGCCCAGAGAAACACGGGATTATCTGCGCACTTTGTCACTAAGACGCATGTGTCTGCAACTCCATGGTCCAAGACGTAGCAACCCCGTGAGCGCAAGGCGGCCCGGTGAGGGCCGTCCCACACCCAGCATTCGGTCCTTAAAGTGATGGACAACGTCAGAGTGCTCCCCTGGCGACCTCGGCAGGAACATGTGTCCACACATCCTACAGCGGCGGTCGTATCAAGCACCGCCCGCCAGTCGCCGGCCCGCTCCGATCCACACGCCCACCACCAGCGGAGGTCAGACCGAGCTCAGACCCGAGGGCGGGGGGGGGGGGGGGGCTCTCCGTGCGCTCTGGCGCCGGCGGCGACGCGCGTCGCGACGCACAAAGCGCCGATCGACGGCCGAGCGTGCCGGGCGCGCCGCCGCCGCCGACGAAGCCAATCATCGGCGTCGACGCATGCAGCGTCGACAGTCGGCCGGCCAGGCGACGTCTCCGACGTGCCGGCCGCGCGCCAAACCGATTGGCGTTCGAATTTCGATGAGGCGGCGGAGCGCGGGCGGCCATCGCTGGACCGTCGGCGGGCAGCGCGGGCGGCCCGGGTCTGACCAGCGCGACACGAGCCTGGCCGGCCTGCCCCGCCCTGCCCTGCCCTGCCTGTCCTGGTGAGCCCGCCGCAGGCTTTCATCCAGATTGTTGGAGCATTGAAACAGCTCGCGGACAAATGACGCGCCAATCAAAGATGACAGCCTCCGAGACGGCTGACGAGTCGCGAGTTTCGGGCCAGGCCCAGCGAACGACGTCGGTTAGCAATTCCGGACTCGAATCAGTGTCCGCGCGATGAACCGCTGACCGGCGCGACCGTCAGCGCTGAGTTGAGCTGAGAAGAGCTGAGCTGAGCTGAGCTGAGCTGAGCTGAGGCTGGGCTGAGCTGAGCTGAGCTGGAGCTGAGCTGGGGCTGAGGCTGGGCTGAGCTGGGCTGAGCTGAGCTGAGCTGAGCTGAGCTGGGCTGAGCTGATCTGAGCTGAGCTGATCTGATCTGATCTGAGCTGAGCTGAGCTGAGCTGAGCCGGATGGAGCTGGGCTGGGGCGGGTCGAGTCGGGCGCGCCGGGCTGGTCAGCTCGCACCTCACGGGTTTCGCCTCCTCCCGCCCAGCGCCGAGCGGATGGCCAGAGAACGGGCCGCTCGGGGCGGCCGGGAGCCGTCACGGCTAGCGCCGCCGCCAACATATCGCCAGGCACTGCACGTCGACAACGGCCGGATCATGATCGCTAAGCCAGACGTAAGGACCTGAGCAAATGCTGCCAGATAAAATGCACATAATTTACGGCTTTACGGGCGTCCGAGCCAACGGCGTCGTTTATGTATCATTCCGAGAGATTCCCGACAAGGTATACAGCAAACGTATCACCAATAATCTCCGGTAAACAGCCTGTCGGTGGCAGATAGCCCGTTGATTCCGGCGCTGAAGGGGGCGCACTGACACGACGCCGCGGGTGACCTGCACCGAGCAGCCCCGCACGCGCGGCCAAAATAAGGACCCAACGAACGCACCGCATTCGCGCCCAGGGAAGCTCCAAGTTACGTCTGCTCCAATTCCATTTCAGCGCATACCAGCCACCGCGGCCGAGCTGCGCCAACGAGGTGGCCTGCGGCCGACGACCGCAAACGCCCGCTCAGCGCCCCATTAACATATGTCTAATTACTTTCCTCTATTCGATAATGACTGCGCTGTGTGGATCTTCGAATACAAAACGCATAATTACGGTTCAGCTGGGCGGCATTAGCATACGGAAGCACCCCATTCGGTTAGCGGGGCGTGCAGGGCGCATGGGGACGCACGCGTCACGCTACCCAAAGGGCCGGACCGCATACTGGACCGCATACCGGACCAGACACCGGACATCGGTCCGGACCGGACCGCGCACCGACAGAACGGCCGGCCACTCGACCCGGAATGCAGACGGCACGCGGAAACGACGCCGAGAGTGTGATGGCCATTAGGACTCTGTGATGATGCGACTACTGGGCCATCAAACGCCCGGAGATGTCCGCAACACACGCAAACGTCCGAATGAACCGCAGCTCTGGCCCGCTCTCCGCGGCGCCTCGGCCTCGGGACTCGCTGTGTGGACGGACTGTGTGAAGGCGAGGCGGGGCGGCACCGAGAGCGGCTGGCCGCACACGTAGCCACCGCGGCGGCCTCGGGCGCAGCAGTCCTGCACGGCAGCGCCCAGCGCGACCCCATAACTCGGCCCGCGCCCGCTGCAGCATGCACGGCACAGCGCCACAACTGTCGCCGCCGCGCCACCGGCGCCGATCGTCGACGCTCGTAACGGCGCTTTACGGCGGCCATCGTGAACTGTCGCGGAACACTCGCCGTCCGTTAGTGTGATGGTCGCCATTCGGCTACCTCTTGTCGCCGCGCGGCCGATCAATCGCCGCTCATGAGCGCGGCCGCCGCGCGGCGACGTTCCGCTCGCGGCCGAGAGATGGCAACACCGGCGGCGCGGCGGGTCCGGCCGCGACCGGCCCGGCCGGCGTCCCCAGCCGGCGCCGCTGTCACCCTCTCCCTCTCAATCGACGAACGGCGCGGCGCGGAAAAACGCGCCGCGCCACGCCGACGACAAAAACAGCCGAGCTGTTTATTGCTGGACGTCGGCCGTGTATATTGTAGCTGCGACCCGGCCGACCACGCTGTGTGATACACGGTGCGGCCGCAGACGGAGCCGACTCGGACTGCTGATCGGGGAATCCTGTCAAAGGCAGGCAGGGAGGCGTGGAGACACAATGCTTGCAACTCCTTTATGGTGCATCTTTGGAGAAAACAATAGCACAATTTATGGTCACATCACAGGAACTTGGTATTGCGCACTACAACGGAAAGTGTCTAGGATGAAAAACGGCATTGGTGCATTACTTACGAGATATTTCAGCACAAATGGTCATAAAAGGTAACAACGGGTGTCTAAAGATCTTACGACGTGAGAGGGGGAGAAACAGACGACGGAGAGCGAGCGGAGAGAAGGGCGGCAAGAAGTCACCGTTTTCCCCGTCCAGCCTCCTGGACAGTCACTGATGATCGAGAGCCCGACCAGAGGACACTCTCCGGGGGGAGGCTGGCTGTCCTGACCAGAGGACACTGCCCGGGAGGCTGCTGTCCTGACCAGAAGACACCGTCCGGGGGGAGGCTGCTGTCCTGACCAGAAGACACTGTCCGGGGAGGCTGCTGTCCTGACCAGAAGAATCACTCCGGGCAGGCTGCTGTCCTGACCAGAGGACACTGCCGGGAGGCTGCTGTCCTGACCAGAAACACTGCCCGGGAGGCTGCTGTCCTGACCAGAAGACAAACCGTCCGGGGAGGCTGCTGTCCTGAACAGAAGACCACCGTCCGGGGAGGCTGTTGTCCTGACCAGACGACAACCGTCCGGGGAGGCTGCTGTCCTGACCAGAAGACATCATCCGGGGCAGGCTGCTGTCATGACCAGAGGACACTGCCCGGGAGGCTGCTGTCCTGACTAGAAGACACCGTCGGGGAGGCTGCTGTCCTGACCAGAAGACACTGCCCGGAGGCTGCTGTCCTGACCAGAAGACATAATCCGGGGGGCAGGCTGCTGTCCTGACCAGAGGACACTGCCCGGGAGGCTGCTGTCCTGACCAGAAGACACCGTCCGGGGGGAGGCTGCTGTCCTGACCAGAAGACACTGTCCGGGGAGGCTGCTGTCCTGACCAGAAGACATCATCCGGGGCAGGCTGCTGTCCTGACCAGAGGACACTGCCCGGGAGGCTGCTGTCCTGACCAGAAGACACCGTCCGGGGAGGCTGCTGTCCTGACCAGAAGACACTGCCCGGGAGGCTGCTGTCCTGACCAGAAGACACCGTCCGGGGAGGCTGCTGTCCTGACCAGAAGACACCGTCCGGGGAGGCTGCTGTCCTGACCAGAAGACACCGTCCGGGGAGGCTGTTGTCCTGACCAGAAGACACCGTCCGGGGAGGTTGCTATCCTGAATCGAAGGCACTGTCCGGGGAGGCTGCTGTCCTGACCAGAAGACACCGTCCGGGGAGGCTGCTGTCCTGACTAGAAAACACCGGCTGTCCCGACCACAAGAGACTGTCCGGAGGGCTTGCTGTCACGACCAGAAGATACTGTCCGGGGGGAGGCTGGCTGTCCCGACCACAAGACCCTGTCCGGAGGGGTTGCTGTCACGACCAGAGGACACTGTCCGGGGGGAGGCTGGCTACCCCGACACCGGCCCAGAGATGCCTCGGTGGTATAGGACCGCTCCCGGTCGCCGGGAGATGATGCTGCGTGGGCGCGGCGGGACCGCGGAGTGCCACGGACCAGTGCCGCATCCATGCTCAGGAGGACGCCGATCCGACCGGAACTGACGCTCTGGAGCGGGAGGTGGGACCCGACCTCATGCCCTGGAGTGCGGGCGCATCCCGAACCTCACGCTACTGAACGGGAGTGTACACCGAACTCGCGGCGCAGTAGCGGCGGACCCATCCGGACCCACGCTGCGGACCAGCAGACCAGCAGACCAGCAGACCAGCGGCCCCGCCTGTCGCCAGCGTCCCCATCCGGCCGGGCCGGGCGCGGCTCGCCTGGAGCGGCCCGCTGGTCACACCAGACGACCGCGCACACAGGGCGTCCGGCGGCGCAGCGCTGCTCTGCCAACACACGCCGCGCCCGTTATCGGCTGTTTACGGCGCCGTGGCCCGCTCGCTCGCCAGACGCATTCCTCCAGAAGCGACGCCGGCCCGGCCACTGCACGGCAGCACTCGCCGCCTGTTTATTTAGCCGCCGCGACATGGCCGGCCAATATTTATTTTATCTGGGCGGCGACGGAGCAGGCACGACGAGGGCATTATCCGTTGCGAGGCGCGTGCGGCGTCCGCCGATGACGACGCTCATTACCCGAGCTGGGTCGGCCGGGAGCGGCGGCGCCCCCCGGCGTCGGCGGGGCGGACCGCCGGCCGGGCGCCCGCCGGCGTCGCCACTCCTGATGAGAATGCCGGCTCTGTCCGGCCGCCGGGGCACGGCTATTTCCAGCGGCCCTTTTACCGCGGCTCTAGATGAACTCATCATGTTCTACAAACCCTAATCTGTCCTGGACGGCTCGTCTTGATTTTACGGCATCAATTTCCCCTTTTCATCACGGGAATGGGCCGAGTTTGTGGCGGCGTTTTACACGGCGGCGCCGCTCCCAAGTCCCAATCACGGCCGGCTGGACGTAAAATAAGCTCGCGCCGCCCGCCGCCGCGTCGCCGCCGCTGTAAACGGGATAGAGCGGCCATCTCCGCCTCGTCGCGGACGACGCCACACAAGGGGCGGCGATTCTGCGCGGCACGTCCGAGACGGCCGACGCGGCGCGGCTGATCCCGCTCTCAGATCGGCACAGATTCACTCGTAGCCATTTGCTTTACGGCCGCGTAAAAGCGGCCGACCGGGCGCCGGCGGCCGTCGACTGTGCGCCGCTCGTCGCCGCCGTTTACGGCTCGTTTTACGCGGCCAGATCGCGTCGTAAAGGGGCGTCGAGTGGCGAGTCGATGGAGACGTGGCGGCCCGCTAACGCGCCCGTAAGCGGCCATCGGCGCGGCGTAAACAGAGCGGCGTCGAAGTGGCGCAGGTGGGCCCGAGCGGACGCGGGCTCATGCGGGCCCGGCCGGCACCAGCGAACGCCGGAGAGACGACGAGGACGCCGCCAAACGGCCACAACGTCGAAGCGCATGTTGGATCTCGTCGAAATGAAGAGCGAGGTGGAGGAGCTTCCCGACGGCGGTCAAATGGCGAGCCCGGCGGGCGCCCGGAGAGGGGTCACTGGACTCCAGCAGAACGTGACGATATCTCACGCTGTAGCTCCGGTTCCGGCTCCGGATCCGGCTCCAAGTACGACTCCAGTTCCGACATCGGCACGCACAGGACGGCCCCGCCACAGCTTGTCGAGGATACCGCAGTCAGCGACCCTCATAAGCTACAGGACGGTGGCAACGGGCGCTAGGCGCCCCCCGGTCGGGCGAGCGAAAAGCATGTGCAGAGGTCGCGGCAGGCCCGTCCGGCTGGGAGCAGAGGAAGGTGACAGACTGGGCGAGACGGGTACACAGATCACAGGGAGGGGACGACCGCCCCCGTCACGCCAACAAGCAAAGGTCGCAGGTCTGGACACAGGTCATCGCCGAGCGACACGCAAAATCGTGACGCATCTACCGCCACCACGGGCAGTGAACCTGCCATCGACAAGGCGCGGTGTGACGCCTCCGGAGGCACAAAACGCGACGTGACACGCAGTGCGTGACAACGTGACACAACGTGAAAGGCCCGGCGTGTCAGCCGACTCGGCCGTTGCATTCGTCATCACGACCGCATCGTGGGGCGCGGGTGGCGCCCCGACGCCTCCCGTGAGTGCTGGCCGCCTCGCCGGTCCGCTCACCTGGCGTCGAGGAAGCGCGAGCGCAGGATCATCACCGCCTCGCACGTCGACTGCTTGAGCTGCACCTGGATGCTGGAGAACTTTTTGTGGATGATCTGCACCATGCGCTCGATCTCCTTGGGCGTGATGGGCCGCGTCCGAGACTGCTCGCGCAGCAGGTTCATCACGTGCGTCGTGAACTCGTTGCAAGCCTGCGGAAGGGCAGGGTCGCTGTCATCAAACGGTCCGATTGGGCATGCGCCCACACCGCGGGGATACAATATCCCTCAGGCGGTTCTCCTCGCACACGAATGGCTTTTCAAATAAGTCGGCCACGGCAAAGTACCCAATGCAACAATGTTTTCAATTCAGCTATTTTTGCACTGCTAGCTACAGACACCATGTCCCGTCAGTCGCACAAAGACGTCGCGGTAACACTTAATACCAACTTGCAGATGTCTGGATTACCATGATGCACACGACGGATATACCTAACCACGAGCGTAATGCAAGGGGTTAGACACAAACATGAGTTCAATATGACGATTGCCCCCTCCTCCCCAGTCTTATAAACGTTCATGGAAACATGACATCTTTGTCATTACAGGGTCTGCAGTGTACAGAGCCATGCAGAAATGTGACTAACGTCTTCTAAGAAGCCTTAAGACACACAACTCACGCGCGAGTGGTCTGAAGCGCGTCTAGGTAAAGGATGCTTCTTAACATTACGACAATTTCCAGAAAGCTCTGAACCGAGCGGCGCCAGATGGCCTGCACACAGCCTGAATCGCAATAGACGGCCTATTATTCTACGGCTGCGAAAGGATCTCTTCACTTGATGAGCCGAAATACAGCCAACCCTACACTCCCGTCTCCGTAAGCCCCCGAGATAATGTCAGCGAGGGAGACTAACTGTGCTTAGAACAATACCGCAATCTCTTCGCTTTATACTAAGCGCCGCTATACCGGATGCGGTCAGTGATACCACACCCAGCGAACACTCCCAGCCGGCTCTAGAGCCGTTTAACCCGGACCGGTAACCACCCCTGACAGGACTGCAGACAACCAACGACAGTCTCCCGTACTCTGGTCGCCCGGGGCCGTGCGCCAGCTGTCTCCCGTACTCTACGGCCACCCCAGGGCCGTACGTCGGCCGGGGCCGTCTCCCGTACCCAACGGCAGCCCGGGGCCGTGCGTCGGCCGTCTCCCGTACTCTACGGACGCGCGTCGGCCGTCTCCTGTTCTCCACGGCCGCCCCAGGGCCGTGCGTCGGCCGTCTCCGGTACTCCACGGTCGCCCGGAGCCGTGCGTCGCCCGTCTCCTGTACTTCACGGTCGTGCGTAGGCCGACTCCCGTACTCCGCGGTCGCCCGGAGCCGTGCGTCGGCCGTCTCCTGTACTCCACGGTCGTGCGTTGGCCGTCTCCCGTACTCCACGGTCGCCCGGAGCCGTGTGTCGACCGTCTCACGTACTCCACGGTCGCCCGGAGCCGTGTCTCGACCGTCTCGCGTACTCCACGGTCGCCCCGGGCCGTGTCGACCGTCTCGCATACTCCACGGTCGCCCGGGGCCGTGTGTCGACCGTCTCACGTACTCCACGGTCGCCCGGGGCCGTGTGTCGACCGTCTCGCGTACTCCACGGTCGCCCGGGGCCGTGTGTTGACCGTCTCACGTACTCCACGGTCGTCCGGGGCCGTGTCTCGACCGTCTCGCGTACTCCACGGTCGCCCGGGGCCGTGCGCGACGCCGGGTGCCGGTCGTTGATCCGTGCTCCCCCGGCCGATCCGGTGGCCGTATTGACCAGCGGAGGAGGTCGCGTCGGCCGCATCGATCTAACAAACTGCATCCTCCTCCAGGCCAGGCGCCGCCGGCCGGCCAACACAACACGGCCAGGCAGCGCGGACCCGAACACCGCCCAGCCGGAGCCGGACACCAGCCACGCTACGGAGGGCTTCCAGGACCGGCATCAACTGCTCCCCGGGGTCGCCCGTGTTCGTGGAAATGGGCATCGAGCAACTTAAAGGGAGATTGATGATGGAGGACTCGAGGCTGTTCAACATGCACGATGTCGCGTGAGCCCAGAAAGCAAGTCGCAAGCGATGAGCATGCCAACAGGTGCGTCATCAATGACTAGGGCAGGATCTTACCTTCCTGGGAACTCGCTTCACCAAGCTTCCCTTCGCTTGCAAGCTAGACCCAGGGATATGTTTCACGGAGCATATGAATATAAGGGCACGTTCAAATCGCACCATATAAGCACACGAACCACAAATCACTAAGCTTCACAGGCTGGCTTTATTCATGAATGAATTACGAACTTCCAAATCACGTATCATGGACGCTTTCCCGACCAGTCCGTTTGCATAACGTGATCCTTCTCGGTATCATTGTTCATTTTCATGAAAAAGGGACCATCTGGCGACCACGGTTTGTAGGAATTCCCTCACCGCGTCTGCTTTTCCGGGGTTGTTTCGAATTTCAAATCTTTAGAACTGCGTTAAAGTGAAGACGTATTTTTCCATTCCGCATTTCAAGCCGGCGAGATATATTCATGGCTGACCTTATGTGTGCAGCGAGGCATAGCTGGAAGCAACAACTTCTCAAAATGAAATACAAAACGGGTAAAATCTCCGGAACACGCCACACCTCCCGGCGCGGTCGTTACCACGACGCCGGGGCACTCTCGTGACCCCACACGGCTAGCGCTCTGGAACTGTCCCGCCCGCATTCGTTCGCCAGATGGACAGAGGCCGCGTTTCTGTCCGACAGGGGGGGGGGACACATTCCGTCCGAACCGGGCCGGGTTCCCGAGACTAAGGGCGCCGGCCGCCCGGGGCGGGTGGATCGCGCGCGAGATGGATGGTCGCCCATGCCGCCCCCCCCCCCCCCCCTCCGTCCGCCGGTCGGCCGCGTGTATCGGTCGACCGCTCGGCAGGGTCATTTGTATACATTAGCGATCCGCCCCGATTCGGCACGGGGGACCGGAACTGAAGACGGTCCGCAGCTGGGCCCGCTGCCGCCGCCGCTAACAGGCGCGCCCGGCGCCGTCGCGCCTGACGGCCCCGTCATCGGACCCGTCGCACCGGGGCCCTGCGGGGCCGGGCGGCGATGGCGACGGCGGGCGCGTCACGTGACGCCGGCCGCGGCCCCGCTCCGTGACTGCGCCTCGCCAGACGACACTCGGCCGCCGGGCCGTCCGTCACGGCCGCCAGTTCATATCGGCCGGCAAGGCCCAACTTACGGCTACAAAGGTGACCTCCGCGGCCGCCTCCTGATGAAAGCACTAAATCCTACCCATCCAGCGGGCGCATTAGATCACAGAAATTTATGGGTGCCGGTGGGTGTTGGCGGCGCGGTTTATTTGGAATCGGACAGGCTGGCCACGATCCGCCCCCGGCAGAGGTGGCCGCCGTCGGACGGCCGTCGCTCGCCGGCGGCACGCGCGTCGTTCTCGACATCTGCCCTGGCCCGCTCGGCAGCGGCGCCGGCCGGCCGGCCGAGGCGCGCCGGCCGACCCACAATATCCCCAGCGGCGATTAAAGCACATAAATTCAGTCAGCATGACAGCAGAGAAAATGGAAACTGAACTGTGAGACAAAGCCGCGGCAAAAAGCATTATTGGGTTCAAATAAAAGAGGGTGGGATGATAAGGTGGAAAATTAGATATCGACTTTCGGCCCTGCCGGACGGCCACTGGGCTGGCCGGACGATCCGTGCCGGCTTACCCGGGCCCGTTGTCGGGGTCGTGGGCTTGAGCCCTAGAGACCTCCGGCACCTACACGTCGGCTCCAGCAAACTCTCCGGGCGCAGGCGGCGATAAGCTTAGCATCAACAAAGATGGGCGGCAGCTAAGGACCCGAAGCCGTAAATAATTACACAGACACGATCCCCACAGACCTTCGCCCTTGGACATTGTTAGAGACGTAATCATTCATGTTTGTTATGCTGCCAAACGGAGTGGTATCATGAGTGATGGGCAGGCCCCGTTCCTGCTTATGCTTAGGACTAGGCTCAAGTTGAGTTTCAGTCACACAGACCATGCCACTGCCAAGGAGTTTGATCTGCACGTGAGATAATCCCGATAAATGGTTAGTGCTTATCGACACCGTGCATGATGACGAAATCTTTATGTCACCTCTGGCGCGAGCAACTGCGTTACATATCTACTGCAGTGTCCGCACAAAAGATACAGTGCTGGAAGTGCAGCTGGACATTGTGGAGCATGTCCTGCACCCTGCATGTGACTGTATAACACACCAAGTGTTTGCGAATCGTTCGTGCAGTGCCGGGACAGCCCGCCGTCCACCGGCCGAACCCCGGCCGTCACCGCGCTGCCGGACGGCAGAGGAGCGCGGGGCGCCACGCATCAAAACACGTGTCGAGGCGCACCGCTGGCGCATGAACCCACAAGCGCCCAGTCTCTGTCCCAACGCCGGCAGGAAACATTCAAAACGAGCGAAGGTCTCAAGCCGAGTGGTTCACGCCCACTTTGCTAATCATTTATGCCCGCGCCGAGGACTCCCCGCGTCCGTAATTGGATCCGCGGGCCGGATTTAGTTAATTTCTGCGCCTCCGCCGGTAACCTAATTTGAGCGCGGCGCAATACCTGGGAGACTCTTGTTTGGCGCTCTTGTGATTCAATTTTCTCGGGAGCGATTCCGGGCGTGGCGGAACAGCGCGGCAAACAGAGCAGCTGGCGGGCGATTGCAGCTGATCAGGCGCGACGCTGCCCCCTCCCCCTCCTCCCGCCCACCGGCACTCGCCTGGGAAAACGCAGACTTCTCACGTCGACATAAGCGTGAAGTCCAGAAATGGATCGCGCTTTGGGATATTCAGTCTAAGATCTCAGGTCTCTTCCGCGAACTCTTCCGCAAGACCTCTTCCGCGAACCACAATCAACTTCAAAATAACATCAATGGTGTTTCGAACTTCCTAAACCGATTTTAGTGTGCGTCCATGGATCTTCCAAAGTTCATCATCACCCTATCAGTAATTTGGTGCCAGATTAAGTGAGATCCAGGATCCACTCCAGACAAAGCCATAAATATTTATCAGATTTGGGATGCACTTAAAAGCTTCGTTAAATTATTTGAAAAAAATAGCTTTTGCAATGGGGAGCAGCTTTTCAAATATCTTTTCCGACTTTGCTGGCTTCCAAAAGCTGCAGGAAAACTACGGGTTTAGTAGACAGTGCACATCACTGGTGGGCTGCATCTGACTGCCTCCAAAAGGAGGTGCTCATGAGTACCAGCTGGTTCATGAACCACATGTGCAGGCCCAGATACTGCTGGGGCTTGCGCAATTAGACCGACGTCCCAGTCTATCAGCCTATTTTGACGAAAGCATCACCATGACCAAAAAGCCGCTGCAGCCGTTGTCGCAGTCCATTTTCGCGCTTCGGATCTCCTGAACAGCGAGATCGTGATGCGCTGCACCTGCGCCACGCTGCCCCCGAGAGCGTCGTCCGGTCCACCGAAGGTCGCCACGAGATGTGAAATGCAGCGCTGGCATATGGTTGCTGAGTAGAGCTCATGTCAACTTTAGCGAAAAGCCCTGTGTTCAGATTAGATCAGGCTTTACAGGCTGTCCCAAATTGGGCCGAGCGCTGCCTAATTCAGAGCAAGGTTGAAATGTCCCAATAGGGCGAAAGCTTCTTATTAGCTGTAGTTTAGAACCTCTCCAGCTCGACTTGGATCCACAGTTCACCTGAGGTCCGGGCCCATGTTTGGACTTTGTTAAGATCTCCTGGGGTCAAATGTCTTAATCCCCACTTTGTCAAAGGTTCCTGAAATCTGGGACCTTGCATAACTCTATGAAAGGATCTTTTGGGACCCCGGTTCGCATTTATGTTCAAGACCCCGCACTATCCAGGCCTCGTCCCCCAAAAATCCGAATGACGCCCCAGGATCCGCCATTAATCTAGCAAACCCCATCGAAAGATATTTGGGATCCGCGCACGTGCCCGCTCTCACGGCGCGCTCCCTCCCCGTCCTCCGCCGGCGACCGGCGCCGCGATACGGAACTCGGCGCACGTCGCTCGTTTACTGTCGCCGGCCCATATTGGCAATATCGGCGGCGGCGGCGGCGGCGGTCGGCAGATGGCGCAGCGGCGGCGCCCGCGGCGCCGGCCCCGCCGCGGCCGGCGCCGCACGCACCGCGCGCCGGCCGCCGCCCGGCCGCAGCTGGCCGTGGCGGCGTGCTGACGCAGACCGCACGCCGCCGCGCCGCGTCCCGGTGCGGCGCGCCCCGGCCCGCTCACTCGCACGGCCGGAGACGCGCAGCGCGGGCCAACGTCCCGCACACGGCTCTCGAAGCCGAGCTGACTCGCGGCAGCGGACGGACGGCGCCCAGGCGCTCAGGCTTCGCCCGCGCATGGCCGCCGCCTCGCGCTCCGCACCGCACGCTCCGACGGCCAGATGACGGGATGTCATCAACGCGCCGATAAGCGGCCACCTGCCCGCACCGGCTACTGGCCGGCCCGCGGATGATCGGCGGCCCGGCCGATCAGTCCGATGATCGGCCCGCCGGCCGGTGCCCCGGTGACCGGCCGACGCGTGACCGGGCCGCCCGACGACCGGTAGCCGACTCGTGACCCGCCACTTGGTTGCAGAGCACATTCGGAGATGCGCAGACAGATATCGGCCCCGGAGTCGGGTCGACTCTGTGCGAACATCGCGCTTTTCCGCCAACAGGTGGGCGGTCTGCGCTTTAGGTGACGCTCTTCCGCTGGCCGCCGGTCTGGGGAGAGGGTCCGTCCCGAAGTGATGGCGGCCCCCTCCTCTCGCGTTCACGGCTCCCCGTCGGCAGCCCAGCCACCGTCGTCGGTAGCGACGAGCCTCCCCACCGCCAGACGGCTCCAACTTTTACTATCGGTCTATTAATACCGAGCGCCCATCAGCCGCTATTGCAATCAATGCACGAACCGTAAAACGGCATTAAACGCTTTTACTCGCAGTCTATGGGCATTAAGTGATCGTTGGTGTAATGTATGGGAAAAGTGGCGGAGATGGGGACGAAAAGCGCGCCGCTAGATGTCGGTGAGAGTGCGGCGCTGCGAGCAACAGATGAAGTGGCCCTATGCTCGAACTTGAACCGGGCAAATGGCGCGGCCAATGATTCTGTCTGCGCTCTGAGGACACTGCGACACGCCGCCGGAGCAGCCCGGCCGTAAGACTTAGCCAGCAACGATAACAGCCTGGCACCACGGCATTCCGAGTCGACGAGACGGTCCGGTGGCGAGAGCGGCGAAGAAAGGCGAGCTCAGCTATCGGGGCAGGGTAGCGGAGTGCCCACGAACAGGTCGACTGACGCTGGCGCCTGAGACAGACACGCCGGGCATAGGAGCCACAACTTACGACACATTCCGCAGTCGCCATCATTCATGTTCATGTGTACTTCATTCGGAGGGTCACACTCCACTTAAACACATAATTGAGTGAATAATGGATTGGTTTCGCGTATATGTAATCTGCAGGTATCGGCGCATTTCACGGCGTGGGAGTGAGCTCCAGCTATCACGGAAACAATGACATTACACCAAAGAGCTGTGAAACGATGAGCGAAGAATTGCATTTGCTTCCATGGTGACAACCATTCGGTCATTCAGGCGAAACACCAAGCATCTGAGTTTATTTCGTCATACCCTCTAGTTACTTGTATTGACAGCAGGTGATTTAGTATTGGAGTGACAATCCACTGATGTATTCCGTGGATATGGTCCGCCTGGGCCGCGAGAGGGTGACGGGGCATTTAGCGCCATCATTTCACCTGTACGCCCGGAACTAATACGTTTCACCAGACCATCCAGCCGGCCATGCTCTTCAGCCCTCGGTACAAGGTCGTCCAGGTCGTCCGCGGCTGACGGGCTGTCCCTGCTCACCTGTCCATATTTCTCCAGCCCCTGGTGAGAAGACCTGTAGAACCTGAGCCCTGACCGACTCACCCGTTTATATTTCTCGAGCCCCGGTGGAAGGCTTGTAGAACCCCAGCGATCCCCAACTCACCTGTTCGTATTTTTCGAGCTCCTGGTGGTAGATCTGCCGGATCTGAGCCAGCTTGGCCCGGTAGTCGGAGTGCTCGATGGTGCCCTCCTGGGAGGCGCCGCCGGCGGCGGCCGCCGCGCTGGCGTTGGTGGCCGCCTGCGCGCCGCCGCCCTTCTCCGGGCCGGCCACGCCCTCGGCGATCAGCATGTTGTCGAGCCGCATCAGCTGCGGGTCGGGCGGCTCCTCCTCCTGCGTGTTCCGCAGGTTTATCACTGCAACGGAGCGGGCGCCTCGTCAGAGCCGGTGTCGCGGTGGCCGGCCCCACCGGCTGGGCCGGCTGACCCGGCCCGCGGCGCCGCGCCTGGTCTGTGGCGCCGCACGGCTTCAGATCGCAAAGCCATCGTCAGCGGGTCTGGCCGGGCGCAGACAACACGTCCACGCGCGCCTGTGATTGCGAGCGTGAGGCGCTTTCGGCACTGTGTCTGTTTGTCCGTGCACTGGCGCTAGGGACGACGTGGTCTGGGTTCAGAAATGTCGGACGACAAAGCGTGCACGTCAAGTTCGAAAATGTCCACCATACTGCGTCACTAAGTGTTCACCGCGCCTCGGTTCGAGCTGCTCGCCTTTCCGTCAGTTAGAGAGGATTACCTGAATCAGCTTAGAAGCCATGGAATTACAAGTCACAACTGGCTTGCGGCTTACAAGACAGATTACATCAAGTCATACACGCACACCCTTGACAGCGCGAACATCCTACGAGCAACGCTCGACGCTCTCAAACGAAAAATCCCCGCGACGCTGGACGCTACGATTGGTTGAAATCGAAACAAACATCCGCAACATCCTGCACTAGAAATTCCAATTGCAGAGAACCAGAGCACAGCTCAGCTAAGGCGATGAATCTCGGACCAACCAACGGATACATTTGTCTGCTCGGCCCTACCCTCCAGAGGCGCCTGGCGCCGAGGGCGTCTCTCGGGACGCGTCCTGAAATATCTGAGTAGCGCCGGCATGACCGCGCGCGCACTAACGATCCCCAGGCAGGGACCGCGCCGTCGCGGGCAGCGCGCGCAAAAACGACGGCCAAAGGCATGAGCGCGTCGGCCGCGCCGCGCCGGTCTCAGGCGAGGCGCAGACTACTGACAGTGGCGAGTACGCGGAGCCCACGGAGCGTGTGAGGACGGCAAGTGCCGAGGTGCAGCGAGACACCCGTCTAAGAGCCCTCCTTCCGGAAATGGCCGACTGCTGACGACCGCTCGGCAAACGCCTTCGCATCATGTTCGGAGGGCGCGTCCTCCCGCCGTTCACGGTCTTCACGGGAATATCGCGCCTGCGATCGGCGGGGAGCCGACTGCACCCGCCCGCCATCCAATATTCAGTCGGCGACACACTCCATGCGCGCGTCACGTCTCCAGCTCTCGGCTGGGGGGCGATTGCCGACGGGCCGACTTCCGACGGCGGCGCCGGGCCGCGCCGCGATCGGCCGGCTGGTAATGCGGCGCAGCGACGCGCCGTCCGCCGCGCCAATGGCCGGCCGAGACGGCGCGGCGCGCGCCGCCCGCCGCTCAGCGACGGTCTCCGGGCGCGGCGACGTCAAATTTATACGGGCCCCGGGTGTAATGATTTCCCGGGCGAGACGACGGCCGCGCCCATCGGCCCCCAGGGAGCCGTCCCCTCACCGGCGCCGCCGCCGCCGCCTCGCGCGGCGGAATTAAAATCGGCCCATCATCCGCGCGCTGCCGACGCGCCGCGCCGGAAATACAGCGAGCGAGCGAGCGAGCGAGCGGCCGGCGCCGTCTGCTCGTCGCCGGCGCGCCGCCGGCCCGGGCGCCCGTCGGCGGTCGCGGCGCCACGCGGCCGGCTCCGGCCGGGCCATCGCTCATCAAGATGGCGGCGGTCGGCAGCGACGCGCGACATGATCTCTCTGTCAGCGCCAGTCGGGCGATACGCCGCGCCTGTCGCTCGCCGCATTTTTCACCATTCCGCGCGGTAATTAATTCACGTCTCGCGACATGGCCGACCGACTCCGTACAGGTGTAAATATGAAGAATCGCCGTGCCGACGCCGCCTGATGTATTGTCAACGTGGACAATTTGTTCGGTGTCAATTATAAATGAATTAGCGATGCGGCGGGGCGATAGCGACCAACGGACGGCGGCGTGGCTGCGGTCGGCGGGCGGCGCACACGCCAACTGGCGGTATTGGACAGGTGCTCCGGGCGGATTAGTGTGTACACAACGTGTGCGTGCCTGACAAGCATCGACAGGCGTGTAATGTGTCCGATACACATGTGCTGAATGATACTTTACGTCGGTACGACGAGTGCGCAGCCACTTGTTGAGAACGTCACGCTGGCGCGGCGGGGATCAGACAAGGCTATGGGACAGCGGGGCGGCCGGGCAGCGGATGGCAACAGCATCCCTGATAGTATGGCCAGCGTTTTAGCTGACTATCGGCATTTAACGACCGCCGTTTCGTATTCATCATGTACTCTCACCACTCCATCCCATTCCTGCTTTGCTTGTATTGCAAAAATATAAACGTGCGTGTCGGTGTAAGCATGAAAATGAGATTCCAACGAAGTTTAGCTGTTGGTGCCATAGGTGTATCACATCTACGTCGAAAAAGGGAGAACTGGCGCATGGTTCCTTCAAGAAAGGCACAGGCACCTGGAGATTAACTTAAAGGACTTCAGCGAATGCACATGCTTGCGACATAGCAGGGAATACAGCCCTCTGGAAGTTCGGTGAAGCGCAAATAGTTCAGAACGATGTCAGACCTGCTTCGGTGTTCGTCTAATGAATCACGTTATGAGCCATCTACATCGGAGCTTCGTCGGCTTTTCAGGAACTTCGGAAGACGACGGGAATTTCGTTGACAACGTCACATTTCACTTTTTACCGTCAAGTAACGTATCGGAAGTCCATCCGCCTTCAAGGATAAGAAAAACAGGCTGGATAGCCGCTTGATCTGAGCGCGCATGACAATGATTCCCACTCTGAAGGCTGACCTTCGGGCCGTTAGTACACTTTTCAGCTAATTTTAGTCACAACGGCCAGTGACCGCTAACACGACCCTGAAACAGTGCCGGCCGCCGGTGAGGGCGTCGGCCGGTCACGACAGGTCACGACGGGTCACGACGGGTCACGGGACAGGCAGGGCACGTCTCGCCGCGGCGCCGCTCAGCACGCGCCGGCCAGTCCGCCAGTCAGTCCGTCACCAGCCTGCAGACGCCAGCCGGCCCGAAATGCCAATGTCTTGTTAATTCCGCAGTGTCAACAGTTTAAAACCAGCCGTTTTATGGCCGATAAATCTTACCACAACGTTCTGAAAATTAATCATAAATCCAAGACGTCGGCTAAAGTAAGCAGGACCATCCTGCTATCGCGGACAGCTGATAGGCAGTTAACGGCGACAGCGTCTTTTGTAAATTATCTGACTGTTATACCACGATTCCATCATGCGATTAAGCGGGTGGGGGGGGGGGGGGGGGGGGGAGAGGGCACCGGAGATGGCTGCCATGCTGGCGTTGCCGGGTCATCCCGCCCGCTCCGCACGCCACACAGCGCTGACCGAGCCCCGGGGCGGCGGCCGAGCGGCGTAACAAGGGGGAGGGGCACCGGAGACGGCTGCCGTTCAGGCGTTGCCGGGTCATCCCGCCCGCTCCGCACGCCACACAGCGCTGACCGAGCCCTGGGGCGGCGGCCGAGCGGCGTAACAAGCGAGTGCCCGCCTGCTGGCAGCGCCGGCCGTTGTCTTACATGACAGCCTCGGGGCTGTGCAAACATCGCCGCGCAGCCCCGGTGGCGGCCATCGCTCAGGCTCAGGCCAGCGCGCGGCGGCGCGGGCAGGCCCGGCACGTCCGCCACCGCCGCTCTCTTCGTCAGCGTCACCAACCGCTTTGGCGTGACAAACGCTCATGGGCGCAAACAAACTGCGGCTCGGCGGGCGACACGTCGGCGCGGCCTACCCCACCCGGCTGGCCAGACACAAACACCTGTCAGTGAGCGGCGCCGTGTCCTCCGTCGCGCCGCGCCGCGCCGGCCGGCCGACGCGGCGCTGACCGGACATCGGGCGCGGCGCGTCAGGCCGCAGCCGGGCCCGTCGGGCCGCAGCCGGCCTGGCGGGCCGCCGCTGCACTAATTGCGGCGTCGGCTGGTGTCATTATCCGACGGCGCGCGGCCGCTGATTAGATTCGAGCCGCGCTCGAGCACGGCCCTCCACCGGCGGCGCGTGGTGCGGCGCCGCCCGCGCCGCCCGCCCGGCCACGCAGCTCGACTCGGCCCCGCTGGTCCGTGCCAGTGCCCAGGTCGGCGGTCTGCGCCAGAGGCCGTGGGTGGGGACCGCAGGAGCGTCGGTCTCCCGGACCGGGCAGCGGCTCCGTATGATCTAAACCAGGGGCGGATTTACGTTACGTGGTTACTCGCAGATGTGTACACGAAACGTGTTCGACAGACGAGATGGCACTGACCGTGTCGTGACGCTGTACGACACGGAAAAGGTTCTCCGGCGTTTTTTGACAAAAGGGGAGACAAACGAGCAGCTCCTGACCTGCAATTGGTTTGAGTTGGTGGAGTCGAGGCCTTCACAACAAGCTTTCCTCGACAGAAACTTTTGCTCTAAACCCATCCCTAAGGACCTACGATCCAAATTTCTTTCCAACTATGCTTCTCTCCGTCGGTTGCTTCTATCGTATGCCTAACACAGAGTAGACACCCACTCTGCAAATGAAGCTTTTGAAGGCATACTGCACGAACTGAGTCATCACTTCAGCCTGCAGCTAATTCGTAATTTGCCGCGCACCGACTATTGCGCAGCCGGCCGCCGGGACTGGAGGCGACCGGAGCGACACAGAGAGCCAGAAGAGAGGAGAGCGACCGTCTACCCACCGGCCCGTGACCCGCGCCCTAGCCTGGCCGTGGGGCGACGGACGTTCGTCAGCCCACCGGCCCGTGACCCGTGCCCTAGCCCGGCCGTGGGGCGGCGGACGTTCGTCAGCCCGCCTGCCCGTGACCCGCGCCCTAGCCTGGCCGTGGGGCGGCGGACGTTCGTCAGCCCGCCGGCCCGTGGCCCGCGCCCCAGCCCAGCCGTGGGGCGGCGGACGTTCGTCAGCCCGCCGGCCCGTGATCCGCGCCCCAGCCCAGCCGTGGGGCGGCGGACGTTCGTCAGCCCGCCGGCCCGTGATCCGCGCCCCAGCCCAGCCGTGGGGCGGCGGACGTTCGTCAGCCCGCCAGCCCGTGGCCCGCGCCCTAGCCCGGCCGTGGGGCGGCGG